TTTAACAAGCTACCGTTTCCAGATGAATATAGCAATTGTGTATGCTCTCAGCCTTTTGAATACGTGAAGTACCACCCCAAACACAAATTATCACAAGTTACTGGAGTTGTGGGAACTACCCTGACAAATGTAGTAACAAATGTGAGGTCACAGCAACTTGACAAGAAGTGAGAGCTCCATTTCAAAACTGAATTAAAACCTGTACTCCCTCCCTCTATCATTAACTTTTTATAAACAATTGCTTTGATTAAAAAAATGCGTAACATCAAGCTTCATAAGGTTTCGGTAGGAAAACTTGGTTTGGTTTTTACAAAATAATTAGTGCCTACTTAATTTTGCCTGCTCCGCCCCCTTAATTAAATTCCTCTTCCATCCCTCCCACTGCCCAGTTTTTTCTTCCCTTTCCTCCTCCAACTCTGCATATGTCGTTATTACTTACCTTCCACTACTCTGATACGCGTATGTATGTATTCAATTACCCGTTTTTCGTCATTTCCTAACATTTAGATTTACTGTTCAGCTGCCTCATTGCTGTCTCCTTTAGACCTTTAAGTCTTTTGAACTCTTTAAGTTGCTTTGGACAGGTACCACTGCTTCCAAACAGAGCAGCTAAAGTGCCTTCTTTTAACTCATTTACAATTGCTTTTTCAGGTTTCCAAGGTGTTTCTCTGCACTACACATAACAGGTGCAAGAGAGTGACAATTCTCTTTCCTAGTGGTCTACCAACCAGAGTTTTGGAAGAACTGTGACACCTCTGACATCAATAATTTAAAATATTATTAAAATTTCTTTGAATAAAAAAAAAAATCTTCTATTCCCAATATGCACTGAAACCTATCCAGTCCCTCTGAAAAATCTTTAGAACAGAAACAGTGTTTAAAAACTGCTTTTTAAGAGAGACACTCCTACTATTTCATAATTCCTTTGGTTTTTTGTAGTGTAAGTTATGGAGCTGAGTAAGATTTCTTCAGGGACAACATGGATTAATAATAGATGCAGAGGAAGAGCAGAGCTGGTGAGTGCACTCACACCCTCCTAAGCCTCACTGGATGTGAAAGTGTTTCTAAACAGCATATTCTGGAATGCTGACACAACTCCATACACTACAGGCTCATTTAAAAAGGCAGATTTTAAAGCTTTTATACTACTGCTACCAAAATGTCTGTTACATTTTAAGCACTTCCAAAGCAACTTCAATTCCAAAAGCTCACAAGATGTCATCTACAGCACAAGTGGAGTTTGCAGCTGGAACAATTAATAAAAGAGTTGTTAATTAGGGCGGGGGGATTTTGGTGGGGTGGGGGACTGGGGGGCTTTATAGCTTGCATTAGGGCTGTCTAGTACTTTGGAGACCAACAGGAACAGTACTGACCTTCTTCATGGGAAGACGTGATATCCTGGCTAAAATAACACTGGACTTCATTTAGCTTTCTGGTATATATACTGAAGTCTGCAGTATATGACGCAGCATGCTGCATTTGCTAACCTTTTAAATAAGCATAAGCCCAAATACACTCCTGCACAGGATGGGTGGCAAGCCTGGATGTTTCCTGATTCTACCCTGCTTCAAGCACTACCAGGTTTTCTGTTCTGTCAACAGATAAGATGTTCTAGAGCAAAATACTACCAGACCTGGACTTATTTTGTATTATAAATAGGTGTGGTGCTCCAGAAATACTCACATCTTGTCTTTTAAAAAGAAACAAGAAGAATGCAGCTTTTGGGAGGGAATAAGAAAAAGTGAAAAATATTTTCTCTTTTCTATAGTCTAAACTCAGCTTCATGATCAGAATTTTCACTTTTCTTCCTTCTGAAGACATACTCTATTTCTTTCCTCTGGACAGTTTTTTTCACTTAAAAAAACCAGTTATTCTCCTCACTGGCAATAGAGCAGAGCACTCAAGGTGGAATATAAGGCAGATGAAGTAAAAATACATGGCACGTATTTTCAGGTTTAATAATAAAAAAAAAAAGCTATAAATTAGATTATAAAATCCAAGGTCGTACATAAGGAATAGCAAAATTAAAGTGAATTGGAACATCTGAAAATGTTCAAGTTTACCTGTATTTCTTTCTACTAAAATTATCTGGACACTAGTAAAATGAAGTTGCTGAGTTAATTCAGATGATTGATTATTCAATAGTCACAGTACAAGAATTAATATGATTTGTCTCTTTCTACATAAGATTACATAAGAAACTGCATACAAGTTATATTATTATACTGTATAGGTGTGCACAAACACAAACACACACCTTCAAGTCAACTCAAACCCAGCAGCTCTTCAGCAGTACCAATGGCTTATGAGGTTAACATGGTGCAAGTTAAAGCAAAGCCAAGTAGTTAAGTGACGTTGCAAATAATTTCCAATAGTTTCCTATCTTTTCCATCTTCTTGTAAACCTTTTCAATAGTTTCTACAGAAATGTCATTGGATCAGAAGAGACAACTGCTCACAAAAATATCTCTTTGCCCACAGAAGTATGATTCATAATACAAAAAATCTGTAGAAGTTAGGTTCCAATTAATTTGTGTATA